CCAGCAGCACAAGAAAAGCCCTGCAGCTTCTCTGTGTCATTTTATGGCCAAGAGCTTAAATTTTAAGGATCTTTTTAAAGTAAGTGTGTCAGGGAAAAATATCCCTGAAGCTCTGGCCAGAACTGGGGTGCAGAGCCAGTGGTCAGAGTCCTGGTGGGGAAGGCTCCACAGCACAAGAACCTTCCAGCCAAAGCTGACCGCTTATCAATTCATTTTCTATTTGAAGTTACTGACTCAATAAAATCAGAGATTAATTATGCTACAGTTATTAATCCACAGAAAGCTGGGACAGCAAGCTAATGGGGTATTTTCTGAGGATTTAGAAAGGGAGCAGTTTTCTCTGGATTCATGGGTCAGCACAAAGTCGATGTTCAGGGTCTGGGCTCATGTGCCGTGTCTCACAGGTCCTTTCCCCCACAGAAATTTGGGGTTTTTCGGTAGAAAAAGAGCATTTAATGAAACAGGGCTTTTCTGCCAGTTCCCAGTGACAGGGGTAAATCCTCTTCTCAGCCCTCCCAGCTCTGCCCCCAGGAGCCCCAAGGGACATCCCTGCACCCCATCCCTATGCTCCAATGGGAAGGGAAAAGCCTGGGAGTGAGGAGAAGGAAAGAAAATGTATAATTACCCAACTGAGGTTCTTCAGATTATTCCTGATGCCAGCCAACATCTTTAAGACATGAAAAAAACATTATATTTCTCCCACTGAGATTCCAGGTTATTCAAATCTGATCTGAAAAGCTATTTTTGCTCATCTTTGCTCACAGCTGAAGGGAGCAGCCGAGGCCAATGGAGCAGGAGGACTCCGTATGTTTGTCCTTCATAAATTCACTGAAGCTTAAAATCTGAACCCTGGTGCTGCTTGGGCACAAGATATTGATCAGCACCTGACAGATGCAGGTCCAGCCAAATGGACTTAAATCCCCTTTAACACTTAGGCTGGGCATGGATGTGCCATTGGGAAGTTTGGGAGAGCCCGATGTGCTGCCAGTGCACCCGGAGATGGACGCTGTGAAGTGGCTCCCATGACAACCAGATACTGGCCTGTCCCTGCTAAATTTGTCCAAAAAGTCCCAAAGGCAGGAGAGCAGCAAACTGCTGCAGGAGGTAAGGAGGAAGCAAGAAAGAACAACTTTTCCTCTGGTATTGCTGGAACAAGTCCTAGCAGGCACCTGGGCACGGCTGGGAGCTCCACCAAGGGCAGATGTGACAATGTCCCAACCCTGACACAGTGGTGACACGACCTCCACACCCCGATTAGTCCCAATTAGACCCTAATCCCACATGTTTGCAAATTATTTAAATCAATACCTTGGGATTATTGCAGACAAAGCCCCGCTGAACATCGCTGAAACGGATTGGCAGCCGTTTGCTGGGTAATGAACAGCTGAAAGGCTGCGACAGCAGTGGGGGAAGGAGGAGGGAATGCAGCTGAGCAATGAGATGCCAGAGCACACAGAGCAGGGTCACGGAGAAGGAACATGGCCCAGGATCACGGAGCAGCATCATGGAGTGGGATCACACACCCTCCAGACTGCCCATGGTCAGAGCCACCAACTCCCCTCCCTCTGCTGCTCTCCACCCCAAGGCACGGCTTTCCCAGGTGCTGCTCTGCGTGGTTTTCAGGAGTTGTCTCTCAGCAGGGCTCCCCCAGACCCACCGAGAGCACAACCATGGACTCCTTGGTGAGTGCCACGGGCACTCCCAGCCTCAGGCACCGAGACCCCAGCTCTGCAGGAGCCATTCAAGGGGAGTGGGTTCCCTGCCAGCTGCCAAAATCGGGGGGTTCATCTGGCACCCCTCTGAAGCCCAAGATAAATCCACCAGCAGCTGCCAGCCCCGCTGACTCCCAGAGCAGCCCAGGCTCCCCCAGGGTCCCCATGTCCCCTGCTGGGGGCCCCGCTCTCTGCTGCAGGCCCAGTGATGCTGAAGCTGTCACAGCGATTTCTCTGCTCATCTCAAACCTTTCTCCTCCCAAACACGCATGGACAGACATTTCAGCGGATAATTGGGAAAACCAGGACCTTTCCCTTTGCAAGGAACTGTTGTTCCAGGGCTGTGTTGCTGCGGGGGGGCAGCACCGGGCAGCCAGGGAGAGGGGCAGGGTACAAAATGCCACGGGATACTGGAGAGGACCAAGAGCTTATGACACCAATCAGCCCCAGGGCACAGCTGCCTCCGGGTGCTTTGGCCCTGCCTTGGCATTCGGACTGGGGGAGCAGCTCAGCAGCCTCCAAAGCCAAGAAAAGTGGTTTGAGTTGGGCTCGGGGCTTGTGTAAACCCTCCTGGCACAGGAGATGCCTGAACAGTGTGTCCTTCCCACGGACCCTGGCCAAAGGGCTACGAGCTGCTGTCAGCTCAGATCTGCCTGGGAAACCAGAGCCTCATGCTCCAAAGGAAAGTGCTTCCCACTGCCTTTCAGGGAGATGTGGGCTGGCAGGGCCCAGAGACAATGCACTGGTAGCAGCGAGCACAAGCTGTTCTTTACATCTTGTGACTTTTACAAGACTCTTGGGGAAAGGACTTTTGGGGAGAGCAATGGATCAGGGTGTAAGTTCTGAAATGCTCCAGCTCAGCCTGTCCTGCAATGGGAACCCCAGGGATGATCCAGGAGGAGGGGAAGAGGCAGCCCCCTGTCCGTGCTCCTGCAGCCACTGGTCCCCACTTCAGGATGGCTCAGCCCTTCCTGCTCATTCATCACCAGACAGTGGTTTGGTTCCCGAGGACTCTGAGAGCAAACTGAGGAAATCACAGGCAGTAATTAAATCACTCGTGACCCAGTTGGATTAGAACTGGCATCTGCGGCACGAAAACGTCTTTCATCTGTGGGCACCCTGTATCTAATCACCACCTTCACCATGATTCCATACAGGACAACAAGGACCTGGGATCTGTCTTGCAAAATGAAATGTCTAATAAGCATTAATTTGTTTTTAAGTTGGGGGCTTTCTGGTAAAGAGCTAATGAATTGTAATGACACTGATTAGCATGTTTGCCAGCGATGCTCCTCTGCAGCTTTGCTCCACGAGATGCCAGCGATCACAGCCTGTGCAGGAAGAACAGATCCAGAGGGGAATGGGGAGACTGAGTGGTGGCTGGGAAGCTGCCTTTGATGTAGCTGTAGATGTCATCATGAGACAGAGATTCCAGCCCAGAGGAACATCCCATCTTTGTCTAACTCAATTATTTCACTTAATCCACTGTCGTTGACCTCCCAACACTCCCCCAGTGCTGACACACCACTGGAGACCTGTGTTAGCCATTCCTGTGTGTGGGCTGTGCCAGGCTGAGCCCAGCCCCGGAACAGGCAGCTGCCCAAGAAGGGGTGACTGCTCCCAGCTGCAGGCAGATGCATTTTTTCAGCACCTGAAGGTAGAGGTCTGGCTGGTGAAGGGCTCCTAGAGGAGTGTGATGAGGCAGGGCAGGGCTTCCCCAGCACCCCATCGCCCTGCCAGCCCTGCCTGTGCCCTCCTACCCATCACTGCAGCCCATCCAGGAGCTTGTCCTGCGCTTGTACTCAGCTCACTGGCCCCCTTTGCATTTGGGGAGGACGCGTATGGCACCAAGTACCCCCAGTGCCAGCGGCACGGCCGGTGCAGAGGGGACACAGGAGTCACATCAGTCAGTTCCCGGCCGCCCAGGGTCACGCCTCAAGAGACTGGGAAAGGCTCACAGTGACAACTCTGGAAGTGACATTTTTAACCAAAAGTGCAGGGAAAGGTCAGCTCCGGCGGGAACGGGAGGGACAGGGAGGTGCAGGGAGCAGCTGCTGCCTGTAATTTCCCCACATAAGCAGATCAGAGCCCTGCGCACGCAGGAGCGACTGCGCCTTGCCCGGCGGAGCGGAGGCCCCAGGGCTGCGACACTGGCAGAGGTCAGGGACGGTGCAGAAGCACAAAGAGCAGACTGGCATGCTCCAAGATTCTTTGGCTCAGTAGGAAATGCATCCCTGGACAGCCTCCCATCAGGCCACAAACAGACCGAGGGGAGAAGCTGGAAGCTGCAGGCTGGAATTTATGAGCCCTATCCCCATTAAAATAGCCGGCGATATTTCCATCTGTCAGTAATGTTGATGAAGGGACCTGCTCCTTTGCATATCCCAGGCCTTACCCAAAAAAACCCCAGCCCCAGTCAGGGCAGGATTTGGCACAGAGATGACTACTGCCATGCTAGGAATTTATGGCTCCAGCCTGCCCAATCTCTAGTAAGCACAGGATCAGGGAACCATATAATCTTTAAGGTCCCTTCCATCCCAAGGCTTTCCGTGATTCTATGCAATTCCCTGCGAACAACAAACCCTCACAGCCAAAGGCTCAGGCGGAGCAGGTCAGCCACAGTGACAGGGTGACATTTCTGGGCACATTTCCCTGCTTTTGTGCATAAAATCTGCAGCAGCCAGCTGGGCCCAGCCAGGTGAATGCTGGCAGATGGCACAGAGGGTAAGTGAGTCCTTGCCCTTGCACAAGCTCCTGCCCAGCAGCACGGCACCTGCACGTGCCAGCGTTCCTGCCATGTGCCGGCATCCCTGCCGCAGCAGCCGACAGGTGAGGGGCCTCAGCACCAACATCTAAGCAGCATTTTGAATCAAACTCAGCACAGATACAGGAGAAGTGCGCAGCAGGAGCCTGGAGGGACACGGTCAGGTTGGCACCAGGAAAGCAGCATCCAGTAGCCCAGCAACTGGCAGCTACTCCAACCTTGGACACGCATGTCCCTGCTGCACAAACCATCCAGGAACCCAAGAAGACACCCACAAAGACAGAGCAGCAGCAACCTCACACAGGCAGACCCACATGTCCATCCTTCTGCCTCTTGGGCCCCAAAACCACTTGAGGACTGCCAGTGACAGCTGGGGGAAGCCCTGAAGTTCAGGTAGACCAGCAAGTGACAAGATGCCAAGGACAAAATAAAGCACTTCCGAACTTTCCACGAGCCCAACAGAGCAGCTGTGCCAGAGCAAGGGCAGCCTTTGGGCAACCTTGACCTGCTGGGTGGGCTCCTACCTTGGGCTGCTGGCATCTTCCCCTTGTTTAGCTGCTTGAGGCGCTTCTGGTGGGACTTGCCGTTGTAGTGGATCTGCGCCTGTGCGGCCGAGTTGAGTTGGATATTGCAGACCTCGCAAAGTGTGAACGACTGGTGCTTCTTCTCCCGCTTCATGCGCTGCTCGGGCTGGCTGGGGGGGCAGCTGGCCTCCTCCACCAGCTGCACTGCGCTCTCAGGGCTGTGGGATGGGCTCAGGGGTCGCTTCATGCCTGCGGGAGGAAGGACAGACCCACTGTGAGGACAGAGGGACAGGAACAGGTCCCAGGTGAGGCAGGACACAGGTCCCACGCCTGTGGTGTGTCTGAATCTGGGGGGGATCCCTGAGCAAGTGCAACAGCGTTTGGGCAAGACGACATGAGCAGCAGCATTCCCAGGAGGTTAGTGCTGGAGAATAACCCACTTCTTCCAAGTTTCCAGCTCTAGACGACACTCCTTGTGTCAGGTCAAGTCTCTGTTCGCTCGTGGGCAGCACTGTGGGTTGGCCCAAGGCAGAGTTAGGACGGTACCAACTCTCTGCAGGCAAGAGATTCATCTGGCAGGACTTGTGTGCGGTGAGGTGTCCCAGAGCCTGTCCCCACCACGGCAGGAGAACGAGTGGCACTGGCACCACTGGCCACCAGCAGGTGCCTGTCCTGAACACGGGGCTCTGTGGGACCAACTTGCAGCAGGAGCGGGAGCCCCTGACCCGCTCAGCGACAGCACAGAGAAGAGCTGCCCATGGAGAGGGCCTGGGGTCAGCTGGGGACAGCCCTCCAGGCGGCCTCTGCCTTGCAGGGACACTGTTCCTGCTGCCCGACCCCGAGCTGGGAATCGGTGGGACATCCAGAACAGCCTCAGAGGCGCGAAGGTCACCCGAGCCCTGTGATCCAGTTACCACCTTGGAGCCGGCAGCTGCGGCTTACGAACACCCGCAGGCACGAAAAGGGGCCAAGGCAGGGGCCGCGGTGTCTGCGGGTGGCCAGGCAGGACCCAAGGGTGCCCAAGGTGATGGGCAGGGATGTCCCCGGCAGCCTCGGCAGGGCCGCATGGGGACCGTGCGGGGCTCGGCCAGCGGGGACCGCAGCGGGCGCTTTGGCTCTGGCGATGGGCTGCCCAAAAGCCCAAAAGCCCGAAAGCCGTGTCCCCCAGCACTCAGCATCCAGCAGGCTACGAGGGCTCGGTCCCCGGGCCCAGCGGGGAGTCGGGCGGGTCTCGGTTCGCTGCAGCCCCGGGCGCGGCCCCGCGGTGGCGCCGCCGCTCCGCCGGTCCCGAGCGTGGGTCCCGCACCGGGGGACAACGGGGGGACAACGGGGGGACAGTGGGGAGAGGGGACTGGAGGGAGAGGGGACAGCGGGGACAGAGGGACAACGAGGAGAGGGGACAGCGAGGACAGAGGGCAGCGCGTTCCCGTCACTGCCAGCGGGTGTGCGCCCCCCTCCTCAGCGGGACCCATCCTGCGCCTTCCTGCACCCCGGAGGTGGCCACGAGTGTCTCCCTCAATAGTTCTATTTAGCCAAAAGGAGCGGGAGGCTTCCCCGCTAGCTGTTAAGAGAGCTGGAGGCCTTTCCCAGGATAACCATTAGCAGAGCAGCCGGAAAGCGGATCTGGGAGCCGATCAGCACCAGGAATGTGAGACGGGGCCTCAGGGACGCAGCGGGACACGCGGCACGCTGGTGGGGACAAGCCAGCCGAGGCAGGTCGCCGGGTGCCCTTGGCATCCTCCCCCTCCCCGGGTATTTTTAATGCGATTACATCCCAGGACGCAGAGCTAAAATTGGAACATTATGTGGACAAAGTATCCCCAAAGTCTCCCTCGTCTTTAAAACGGGCACTGCTGTTGCTCTGATTAGGCAGCAGCTCCTGTGCCGGCTCCCGGGGCAGCGTTTGAAGGTCTGTCCTAATTGCACACACACTTGTTGTCTCATTCACTTAATTTCTTCTGTGCCTGTTCTGCTTCTCAGGTGTCAGGGCCACAATCCGGGTGGCTCATGGCTGGGACAGGTCACGGGACAGGTCATGGCACATGTGCAGGCTGGCAGTGCCCCGACTGACCGCTGCTTTGGGGCAGATTTCACCTTTTCAGCAAAGCCTTGAGGAACTTCTGCCCGGGGGGTGGGGGGCTGTTGCCTTTCACAGGAGGGAAACTAAGGCAAGGTAAAGGTTAAGTGACACCTCCAGGGTGACTCAGGGGCTCTGAGCCAAACCCAGCTCAGAAGGCAGGGTCAGCACATCCCAGCTCCACCACCCAGCCCACCCCAGGACCGGTGAGGTCAGGCTTTTGTCTCCTCCACGCAGGAGGATCACAAGCAGTTGCAAATTTTTGGGTAGTCTTCCCAAGGGTTCTCCTGGATGGGGGAGATGAGCTCGCCTACCACTGCCCAGATTTGACCTGGCTGATCAGCATCGAAGACAGGACCCCAGTGACACTGGTGCCTTAAATTTTAGCTTTCATATTTTTCATATTCTGCACTGCCTGGGTGTGTAGTTTTCACAGCTTCATATTAAGTGTTAGTGATCTCTCTTCACAGAGTAGGTAGACAAAAAAATATCTTTTCTAGCTTGATATCAAGGACAATCATTAGAAGTTTCAGGCCCAAAAGCAGAAACAACAGTGGACTGAAGAGAGAAAACAAGAAGATTGGGACTTCATAATCTGAAGCTCTAATTGGACAATTAACCCCAATATGCAGATGGACCAAAACTTATAAAAATGTGAGACCTCATGACCACTCATTCATTTTGTGACCATTTTTAGGTCCATCTTTGGTGTACCCCTGGCCAGGCTTTTGTACTGCCCAAGGTGTATCCTTCAAGCCCTTTCAATAAATACCTACTTTATTCTTAACTCTGTCTAGCCTCTGTTCTAGGTCAGCCTTCTCAAGGCGTCAGCACTCTGCCACCTGCACTTCTTGCTGCCCTTCCCTCAGAGCCAAGGGCTCTTCCAGCCTCACAGGGGATGTCCCTTTGGCTGCTGATTTTTTGAAGCAGACCCATGCCGGGCCATCCTTTACTCAGCTCCCGAATGCAAAGCAAACTCCAGAAACCACAACTTGCCACGCAGGCTGCAGTCTCTGGAAGTGGCTCCGTGCTCACACACACACTGCTGAAGCAGCATCCCACAGCATCCCAGAAAAGCTGCTGGCTAGGCATGAGATACATCAGCAGGGCAGTGGGGTTCTGGCCAAGGTACAAAATCCTGATGAGAGAGCAGGTTTGATGTGGGTCGGGTCCTTTCCCTCATTTCCTGTATTCTGGATAACCTCAGGGTAGAGCCATAAAGGCCACCTTGGGCACAGGGAGTGCCTGGACAGAGGTTCCCATGCACATGCAGCCTGAACATCTGTGCAGGGATGTTCTCTCAGTGTCCTACCCCAGCAGGGACCCTCCTGCCATCAGCACCGCTTTGTGTCCCATGGGACTTTTATCTGAACTCAAGAGAGCACAGACAGAGCACAACAGAACACACAGGACCAGAACCTCCCCCCAGGTCAAACTGCATTTGCCACGGAGCTGAGAGGACCTGACAACAGCTAATTGGGAGATCTCGCCATTCAGTGATGTGGGATCAGGGAAAACACCACCTGAACAGAAAGTGCATGAACTTGGTAAGAGAGCAAGAAATCTGAAGAAAAAAATATCTTATTTGAGTCCACTAGGTTACGTTCTACTGAACCCACCATCCTTGCCTCCAGTTGAGTGCACACAAAAGTAAAAGCAGCAGAAGTAAAAGAAAGCGTTGGTATGAAAGTGGCCACCAACAGTTGTCACAAAATTCCCTCAGACTCCCTGAGTAAGGGCCATTTCATGGTCCCTGTTCACATCTGTAAGGACCCTCAGGAAAGCCAGAGCTGCCACAACACCTCACCCAAGCACAACTCAGATCACTGCATCCCATCACCTCCATGGTTTGCACCATTGGGCAGCTCTGTGATCCTGCCACTGCCACGCATGTTTGCACCAGGGCCCGTGGCTGTGCCCCCCTCCAGAGCCACCAGCGAGCCCCAGACCCCCAGCAGCAGCAGCAGCCCCAGCATCCTGCCTCCTCCCAGACCCCTCACCACCGGCACAGGCCATTTCCAGCCCTCCCACCCATCCGGGCTCGGGATACAGCAATGCCTCTGCAAGGCGGCACCTGGTGCCCCAGGCTGGCACAGGAGGCTCCTACCTGGTGCTGGTGAAGGGAAGGGCGAGCCCTGCCCTTGGCACCGCCGAGCCGAGCCGGCTCCTGCCCTTGTGCCACGGCCCTCAGGGCACCGCAGCCTCCCCTGTGCCCGGAGAGCCGCAGACACTTGGCTCGTATTTCAAGGAGCGCTTCAAATGCGGTTCGATCGCCACTAAATCAGCCCTCATCAGCAGCCTCCGGACGAGAGCCGGCACGTCCGAGCTGGTGCCTGTGGCTCAGCAAGATCCCAAAGAGCCCCGAGCGTCACGAGGGGCAGCGGGCGCCAGCTGGCAGAGGGTGGCACTGGAGGAGCCACCTTGGGCCAAGCGCAGGCGGATGCACCTGGCAGCAGCTCTCAGTGACAGGGGAGATGGGGGAATGGGGCAGCTTCCCGGCCTGCCTGGAAGGTCGGACCCAGAGAATTCCCTGTGTAACTCCGTAAAGAGGCAGCTGGTGGAGGGGTGGGAAGGCCGCTGGCCTCGCTGCAATGAGCGCAGGGGGCTCTGCCCCGGACATGGAGGTGGCCCAGGGGACCTGTGATAGCATCAGGAGATGCTTCAGTGGCCTGGCCTGAGAGCTGAGCAGATCCAGGCAGAGCGCAGGTTTTGGAGGGGCCTGGACATGCCTGCAGCACTTGCAGCATTTCATAACACTGCATCAAACCAGCTGCCCCCCCAGCCCTGACATATGCTCCGCTAACGCCAGAGCGAGGCACATTTCAGGATCAGTCCGTAAACCCTCCCTTGTCAGAGCAAGGATTAGTGTGAGCTGTCTCTCCTCAGGGGCTGGGGACTGCAGGCTGGCTCCTGGCACAGGGCTCAGACCACCCACAACCCTCAGTTCTGAACCCCCCAAATGCCCGGTTCTTACCCTCAGAGGCTCTCCAGGGTTCCCCTCAGCCCCGTTCCCACACGCTGAAGGGCACTGGGACATCCTGCAGCCTCCCGGGAGGGCAGGGAGCATCACACGGAGCACGGTGCCACTGCGCCTGTCCTCTCCTTTGCACATCAAGATCATTAACACCGCAGGGCTGCGTGTCCCCTGAATCAGCACATCCCGGCCCTGTTCCCGGGCAGCAAGGACAGCTGAAACCCAGCTGAAGGAGATGCCATGGAGGGAACAATGCTGCTGCTCTGCAGCGGGGCAGGGAATGTGCCCGTCCGCTCCAGCAAGGAAACCTGGGCAGTGCCACCTGCTCTCAAAGGAGCAGGGACAGCAGCAAAGCAAACAGAGACAGGGAGTGTGACATTCTGCCCCAGGGTTCGGCCGTAGCACAGCGAAGGGAGCAGTGGCAGAGGAAGGACTGAGGCTCCAGGATTCATCACCCCCACTGGCCATGCACCCCCAGCCTCTCTGCTGGGTGAGGAGAACCTGGCAGGATCACAGCATCCTTCAGGATTCTTGTGGTCAGCACAAAGATTAGGGCAGAGCCACGTCTCACAGAGCCACTGTGTTCTCTTGGGAAATGAAATACAGAGAACCAGGTGATGCAGTCTGAGCACCTCGTGCCCCCCTCGCTGTTTGCTGAAGCTGGCGCAGGGAAGTTCCCAGAGAAGATGATTTTCCACAAGTGCAGGATCCAGAATGAGATCCAGGCCAGCTCCTGGGGAGCTTCCACCCCCGCTGCAGGCACGGACAGCTGGGCCAGCAGTGGTGCCGCTGGAGGCACAACGCCACAAGCATGGAGCACCATGGTGGGGGCAGTGCCAATCCCCTTCCCCCACCCACCCGTGGCAAAGCTGAGGACACCCACCATGAGCACTTACAGTGATGAGCAGGGTTCCAGCAGGTCCCACAGCAGAGGTGGGAACGGTCTTCCCTCCCAGCTCCCCTCAGTCCCACATCTGGGTCAGGAGCTTTTCAGGGCAGAAACTGGCTTTTAAGTGAATTTGTGGAGAGCTGCTGGCTAATGGGAGATCTCCAGTTTAAGCTGGAGCTCTCAAAGGCTCCTCTATTACAAGGCAAATTAAATATTTGATAGTGCTAAGCAAGTGACATTTGCAGTCCGGTCACACCAGGGGTATCAGATAGAGATATTTGCAACGGGATCTGTTTAAATCCATGTAGTGCTTTGGATCCGTCCAGCAAAACAAACCCAGAGCTTTATTAAAATCAATGTTATCAAACACCCTGCTGGGGGAGGCTCTGGAGCCCACATGGTGGGGCTGGGGGGCAGCTGAGTCCTGCTGAGCTCTGAGGCTGCAGTACAAGTGCAGCTTTGGAAGAGATTTTTCTTTAAAATTTAAGAGTAGCAAGAGACTTATCCCTACCTGTCGCTGTGGGAGGGAGAT